CGAGGCGGCCGCCGCGCTGCGGGTCCCCGCGTGGCCGCGAGGCGCCGGCCGCGGGCCCGCGCCGTGCCACCGAGCCGGCGCCCATGTCTTTCCTCGTAAGTAGCCTAAGGGCGCGGGCCCGGCGCGGCCTCCCCGGGCAGCGGGACCCGGCTGCGGGCATGGCCGCCCGGAGAGGCGCTCGCCCCGCGGGGATTCGGCATCTTACGGGAAAGCGCGGCCGCCGTGGCGCTAATGTAAATAGGGAGGGTTTAAATCTCGCGTTTCGCCAGCGAACCGCAAAGAACCGCATGCTTAATGTGCCTCATCTCCATTATCAATAGTTGAGGGTTCTTTTTCCTACCTCTCGTGTGCCTCGGGCGCTATRGGAAGCCTCACGCCGTACACGCACGCATAGGGGTTTGCTTGATCGATGCGAACCTGCCTTACGGTCGTTTGCAGTCCCCTTACGCAGCTAAATGCTCCCCTGTGCGGGCCAGGGGAAGGACTCGCCTCCCATGTCGCAGCTACTGCCCTTCCGACCGCAGCGCCAGCGTTTAAACAGTAACAGCAAGTCTGTTCTGGTTGTGTGKGGGGGGAAAGGTGGGAAAATAATTGAATATCAGCTTGTCTCTTAAAGAAATAATTAATTCTGGGTGGATTTTTCTTTCTTTTAGCGGTGGGTGTCTGAAAAGTTCATTGTTGAGGGCTTAAGAGAATTTGAACTGTTTGGAGGTAAGTTTTTCTCTCATTATGTGCTATCGATAGAAATCTCATATCTTGGCCTTAAGTTCTGTTGTTGTGGTATAAATATATATCTTAAATGGGAAAGAGAAGTACAAATCCAGTTGTAGCATAAGGCTTCAAACTTGCCGAGTAAGTAAAGTTAATATGAAAATGGCCAAGATACAGGAAGTTACTGGGAAATCAAGTCAATGCTAGTACTAATTTCCGACACAGTGTTTTATATTTCTGTTATAACCTCTTTTCTCCTATGCAAAAAAAAAAAAAAAGCTTGAGTTCTAAACAGGTTAGTAGCTATTTCACAAGCAAAAACAGATTGGAAACTGTGAATAATAACAAGAGAACAAATTTATTTCTATTCTGCTTTATCTATAACTAAAAAAATTGTCCACTTGAATGCAGCCCTTGTTCAGTAGTAAGGGAAGCCAGTGCTGAGTTTTTGAGATTCTARATGAAGTGGACAAAACTTTTACTAATTTATAAGCCTTAAATAGTTTCTTTCAGGTTTAAGATAACTAGCTAGAAAACTTTAAATGGACTTAGATAATAAACAATTCTCAGTTTATATTTATTTTGAAGAATATATACAAAGTAGAACTATTTGAATCTAATTCCCATAACTGGTACTATAACAAATTTTTAGGGTTGCAACCTTAACTGTAAATTTTATGTCTTTGTCCAATAATATATATTTGGTATCAAAATGTGTTTTGTGAGGTTATCATTTTGATTTTCATCAGTATGTGCCAATTATATTTGGGTGTATATGGATATCTGTTAAACACAACATGGTGAACAATTAATTTCTTTACTCCAGAGCAGCCTCCGGGTGACTCTCGGAGAAAAGTAAGTGACTTTTGCAGGTTGTGGTGCTGTGGTTCATTGCATGGAGATTATTCCTTGTGGAAGTTTGATTTTTCTTTTTACCTTAGTTCTATATTTCATCTATATATTTAGCTCTACAAGTGTGGAAATAGGTTTCACCCTGGAATGGAGATTTTGGTGTGTGGCTTTCAAACTACTTGTGACAAGTTAAAGACTTAAATTTAATCAAATCATTTCCAGTTTTAACTTGGCTTTACCTCTAGTCTGGTTGTCCTCAGAGCCAGCTCTGTGTATGCTTAGAGAGTTCTGCTTCTTAATGATGAAAAGATCCTGTGAACATAGAAAATCTGTTGAGAAACAYGCGGACAAAATGGGGCAGCTGAGGACTTTTACCTCTGATGTTTCATATTCTGCAGGTCCTATTTACACATTAGTTGTTTCACAATGTACTATGTTTATAAAATAGCAACTTCTGGCAGAATATATCTATCTAAATGATTTCCTGCCTCCCCAMATCATACGGAAGCTCTTTGGTATGCAAGTATTGCACTGCTTTAATTATTACAAACTGGAGTTAAAAAAAGCATTTGATTATAATGGTTTCAGCTCAAGCTGCCTATAATTGATGTTGTGCCAGCATCTATAATTCAATGGCACAAACTATGCTAAAAGATTGACATTGTTTTGTTTTGCATAAAGTCCACTAAATTAACACTTTCTGTTAAACTGCTCAGCTTTGTGCATATATTGATTGCACTGGGAACAAATTGAGAGCAGCAGCTATTTTGTTCATGTATTCACTTGAGGTTTTGGAGATCTTTACAGCAGTATTGAAGGCTCTATTCTTGCATCTATACAGAAGCTTAGGGTTTTTTTTTCCACGGTCCTTGTAGGAAAAGTTCAATAATTTTATGGGGAAAAGAAATTTTTGCTGCTTGTACTGAAAGTGTTTGAAGAAATGAGGAGGTAGAGGGGAAGGTAGTAGAACAAAAGCAACATTCCTCCTAATTCATTTGGCAAATGCACTTCCTCGCTGGCATCACATAACTGATTTTCTTATGGCATTTTAAAGAGCACTTATCCTTCAAAGATTAATTTCCTTAAAATGATTTCCAATTAAAATCTGATGAACAAGCCCGAAAGCTAAATATTAATGAATGTCATGTCATAAAACTAGTCAYGTGTGACTTCATTTTGTGGCTGTCTTTGCTCTTGACCATACACCAAAAGATATCCTGGGTGAAACTGTTGAGGAGCTTTCTTTGCAGTATTTCATAAGTGACATTTCAATTTAACCTTTGTTTAAACTCTTGTAGAATGTTGATAAATTTCTGGTAGAGCTCCTTTTTTTCTGTTAACTCTTAGTTACTGGTAGTTGCTAACATGAAGAGAGGTGAGTGATATATTAGGAGACTTTGAAGAAGGGAACTAACTGTATTTTTCTCTTGCTGTTGAAGCAGTCTACACCATAATAAGATTAATTTTTTTTTTTTTTTGCATCTGTTTTATTGGCTTAYGCTAAATTTGGAGTAGACTTTTATTAAAGCACATAATCACTTACATACTGCTCAGTGTTTCACCAGCTGTCATTGCTCCATAATGCTGCTTACCAGAGCCTTCTGTTTCCATTTCCTTGGTGGTGCCTTTCTGCTTCAGAGGTTTCCATCTGCCTGTGTGGCTCTCCTGTCAATCTTGCTGTTGACAGGACTGCGAGAAACTGCTGAAAAATGTAATGAATGATGAAGCTGAAGGGAGAATTGACGGGTGTCTTTAAGAGAAGTCTGAGAATGCGAGTAGAAAGTTCCTACCTGTTCTTAGATGAGCAAAAGCAGTACTAATATGACTGGAATAAAGGATTTGAGACTGCTGCTATCTCAGGGATTAGCTGTTCTGGAAAAAGGCTTGGTGGAGCTGCTGAGCTGGAATTGTTTGATCTAAAATAATACCATAGCAGTGTCACAAAACTCAGTTTTGCCTTTTCCCATMACCAAAAAATACATTTGTTTGACACAGGCAGAAAGAAGTAAAGGGTATGTTGCCCCAAGTCAGCTGAAAAGCTGCAACGTAAGAATCTGGACAATTAGCTTACTCCCAAGGTATTTTTAAGGGTAGTTGAAAGCCTTTGGTTCAGTCTCAGTTTTCCAAGAAAGTAATTTATGGTGAATTCTTGTTTGTTCTGGTCTCAGTAGCCTAGGGTAAACATTAGAGCCGTGCTTTGTTTTTCAGCTGTCACTGTGTTGTTTCCATCGAAGTATCTACGGATTTATTGTCACTGTAGGAAAATGTGTAAGAATTTTTTCTGGTTCATTTATCATGAGAAAAGGTCTGGCAAAGGGCATTTACAGTTGATGAGGAATGAAGTGGAAAAAAATGAGCTGGGGTTCCAAATGTCAGTAGGAATTAATGTGCTGGCAAGCTGAAATAACTAAAGCTCATCTTAGTCACCAAATGCATTTGGATCCTCACTAGGATGCATTCCTTGTAACTATAGGAAGTTGAGGGAGCTACAAGGTGCGTTGGAAGAACAGCAAACACTGTCTTCTGCAAACCCCTGTGGGGAAGACTTACATACACATAAATAAAGCCATAAATAAAGCACATAGCTTTATGTCACATAGAGTGAAGAGGAGCTGATGGAGTTGGGAGTGCCGCTGCCTTACATGTTGCGGTGTCTTTTGCTTTTTTTGATTTTTATAAGCATTAACGCTTTGCTTTTCATTTAGAGCTTCTCTCTCCATATGCATGTGATCTTGGGCTCAGTTGGTCCATCACTTCTACCATGCAGCAAAGCAACTTCAGCTGTGTTGGTCTAACCACAGATGAGCAGCTGAAAAACAGAAGCCGCAGCATTGGAAAGGAACGTTGACTGCCAAAGTGCAGAAAAAGTGCTATAAATAATCTTCCATTTGATGGCTATTGCTCAGGCAAGAGGATGGTGACACAGAAGCTTGCAAATAATGCTAGAAAAATGATAGAGCAGCGCTTACGCTCTCCTGCAGAATGGTAATCGGATTTGTCCAAATATTCCTAAAGAAACTCTGGAAACTGTAGTGCTAACCGACATGTTACAGTGACATGTTTAAAACACAGATGTCTGGATCTTCTGAACTGAGGCATCTCCTGGACTTCAGTTGATATTTAATCATTTAAAACCATTTTAACAGCAGAGAAGTTCTCTCTCAAATTCAATACTGTGTTAGTATTTTGAGTGTGTATGGCAACATATGGAGCAGGTGATTTTTCTAGCGTGCGATCTTTTGTTTCTTGACCTATTTTCTTTTTTCTTCCCTAGACAAATGAGGCGAGCACCGAGTCGATAGCCCCTTCCCTTAAAAGGGACACCATGAGCAACTTTCTACCAGACAGCAGCTGCTATGAGTTACTCACTATCATAGGTAATGTTTCCAGTGAGACAGAGAAGCAGAAATCTGCTTTTCAGAGAAGATAATTTCTGCGACTTCATTGACCTTTTCTTAACTGATRGATTACTTTCATTAGATGCCTCTTTCTCTTTGGCTCTGAAATCACTTTAAGATAAAGAAATACTGCTGATGCTTTAATACCTTTTCTTTCAGGCAGAGGCTTTGAAGACTTGATGATTGTGAATCTGGCGAGATATAAACCCACGGGGGAATATGTCACAGTCAGAAGAGTTAACCTGGAAGCCTGTACCAATGAAATGGTCACGTTCTTGCAGGTAACACTGATCCACTAATACCACAATGCAAGTATAGGAGAGGATAGACAGCAGAGCAGTGCTCATTCGTACCACATCTGTACTTCTGCACTTACAAAASTGRTTCTTTTTTTTTTTTTTTTTTTTCTTTCTTTCAGGGAGAGCTTCATGTTTCCAAACTCTTCAACCACCCTAATATTGTGCCATACAAAGCAACTTTCATAGCTGACAACGAGCTATGGGTAGTGACATCTTTCATGGCCTATGGTAGGTGGAGAGGGAAAATATCTTTGTCTGAGCAGCACATCCTGTCAAATTCATTCTGTGTAAGAGGTMAAA